CACTGACTGTCAAACTTGGTTTCGGTTGTTTCGACGTGACGGAAAACTGACAGGAACCAAAATGAGATTTCTATTCCCCTGTGTGTGTCCATCTCTCTCTCATAAATGTTGAATCACCAGCACATTAAAACCATTCGACACGAAGCAAACCCTTGTTATTGCAGCTTGCTAGGACTCATAACCCTGAAATTACAGGGCTAGTCGAGATGAGCTGTGCTTTTGCCTGGACATACAATTTCACCTGGTGGATCAAAGCAATTCAATTCAATTTACATTTATTTGTGTAGCGCTTTTCACAATACATATCGTTTTAAAGCAGCTTTACAGAAAATGCATGAGTGCATATTACAATTTAGAGAGATCTGTTATCAGAGATGACTGTGTCCAAGTACATATACAAATCACGCAGTTCACTAACAATGTATTAATTTAAGGCAGAAACAATGAGCTTGTTGAAGTAATTATTACAAGTTGTGAACATAATTATTATATAGAAATTTATCATTGGTGCATGTTGATTCAGAATTTGCATAATCTGAAGCCCTCGCAGAAAACACCCAAGAAACCACCTAATAGTACGTCCTAGTTCTACAAACTGAGCAAAAATCATAGGTGGGCTCTTTTGATTCATTGACCCATGTTAAGACCTATAGATCCCCAAGAATATCAAAGAGACTTGAAGGCAAACACCTAGAAATCATCCAAAATATTCTAGCAACCACTTAGAAACTGCCTAGAGCACCCTACACACCATGGCAATAACCTATTTACTATCCAGAACACCCTTCAAACCACACCAAAACATAATAGAGACCATTGTGGGCTATTTTCACCCATAAACCCATGTTGGGAGCTATAGATCCCCAAGAATATCAAAAAAACTTGGGCACAAACACCCATAAACTATTCAAAATACCCTACTTACTATCTAGAACACCCTTCAAACCACACCAATACATTAAAGTAACCATTGTTGGCTCTTTTCACTCATTAACCTATATTGGGAGCTATAGATCCCCAAGAATATAAAAGATTCTTAAAAGCAAACACCTAGAAACCATCTGAAATACTCTAGAAACCACCTAGAGCACCCTACAAACCACGCCAAAGTATCATAGGTGGGCTCATTTAATTCACTGACCCATGTTAAGAAGACCTATAGATCCCCAAGAAAATCAAAAAGACCTGGGAGCAAACAGCCATAAACCATCCAAAATACCATATTAACTATCTAGAACATCCTTCAAACCCCAAGGCAAAACACCATACAGACCATTGTGGGCTTTTTTTCACTCATAAACCCATGTTGGGAGCTATAGATCCCCAAGAATATCAAAGAAACTTGGGCACAAACAGCCATAAACCATCTAAAATACCCTATTAACTATCTAGAACACCCTTCAAACCACACCAAAACATCATAACCATTGTGGGCTCTTTTCACTCATAAACCTATGTTAAGACCTATAGATCCCCAAGAATATCAAAAAGACCTGGAAGCAAACAGCCATAAACCATCCAAAATACCCTATTTACTATCTAGAACACCCTTCAAACCACACCAAAACATCATAACCATTGTGGGCTCTTTTCACTCATTAACCCATGTTGGGAGCTATAGATCCCCACCCCAAGAATATAAAAGATTCTTAAAAGCCAACACCTAGAAACCATCTGAAATACATCACTGACTGACCTATGTTAAGACCTATAGATCCCCAAGAATATCAAAAAGACCTAGGAGCAAGCAGTCATAAACCATCCAAAATACCATTTTAACTATCTAGAACATCCTTCAAACCCCACGGCAAAACACCATAGAGACCATTGTGGGCTTTTTTCACTCATAAACCCATGTTGGGAGCTAATAGATCCCCAAGAATATCAAAGAGAATTGGGGGCAAACACCCATAAACACACCAAAACATCATAACCATTGTGGGCTCTTTTTCGCTCATTAACCTATATTGGGAGCTATAGATAACCAAGAATATTAAAGATTCTTAAAAGCAAACAACTATAAACCATCCGAAATACTCTAGAAACCACCTAGAGCACCCTACAAACCATGCCAAAACATCATAGGTGGGCTCATTTAATTCACTGACCCATGTTAAGACCTATAGATCCCAAAAAATATCAAAAAGACCAGCCATAAACCATCCAAAATATCATATTAACTATCTAGAACATCCCTCAAACCCCACGGAAAAACACCATAGAGACCATTGTGGGCTTTTTTTCACTCATAAATCAATGTTGGGAGCTATAGATCCCCAAGTATATCAAAGAGAATTGGGGGCAAACACCATAAACTATTCAAAATACCCTATTAACTATCTATAACACATTTCAAACAACATCATAGTGACCATTGTGGGCTCTTTTCACTCATTAACCCATTTTGGGACCTATAGATCCCCAAGAATATCAAACCCTATTAACCATCTAGAAAACCCTACAAAATGTGGCAAAACATCACATTGACCATTGTGGGCTTTTTTGATTCATTAACCAATGTTGGGACCCAAACAGATTTTACCAGTCAAATTCACAGCAGCCACCTAGCAAAGTCTATCTCTTCATGATAATGCTCTAAATCAGACTTTAAAAGAGCCTCAAACACTTCAATTACGTACATAGATCAATGGAGATGAATGACAATGAGACAAAGTCATTGTGAATTCACTGGGAATCCCAGGTCCTCTGGAGAGCAATAACCTGCAGGATTAATATTCCAAAACCCATAAAATTCAGAAGCACATTAAACACAAAAGCGTGAGGCAAAGCCCAGGCTGGTCAATGGGACTGAATAATTCAGACTGTAAAGAAGGAGCAGATGGGAGGCATGCTGTGGTCAGGTCAGGAGGATAACAGGTGGAGAGAGGGATGGAAGATGAGAAATCACAATCACTGGCTACGTTTACGTTGCACAACTTTTGTTTCAATCGGACTGAATACATTCGGATTGATGAATCCGAACGTAGTGTTTACATGAACGCTAAACATGTGATCGGGTCGACGTGCGCGTTTATACAGGTGAAACTCGAAAAATGAGAATATGGTGCAAAAGTTCATTTATTTCAGTAATTCAACTTAAAAGGTGAAACTATTATATAGACTCATTGCATGCAAAGTGAGATATTTCAAGCCTTTATTTGTTATAATTTTGATGATTATGGCTTATGAAAACCTTTTTTTACAATATTCTAATTTTGAATTTGGGGTTTTCATAAGCTGTAAGCCATAATCATCACAATTATAACAAGGCTTGAAATATCTCACTTTGCATGTAACGAGTCTATATAATATATTAGTTTCACCTTTTAAGTTGAATTACTGAAATAAATGAACTTGTGCACCATATTCTAATTTTTCGAGTTTCACCTGTATGTCGCAAGATTCAAATCGGAATATATTTTTGACATGCACTCACTGCACGAATATACAGATTTTCCCGCTATTTGCGCATAATAACCATCGCCTACATTGACTTAAACAGCAGACTTAATATTTATCCATTTCTGGTCATAATGTGGAGACGATGAGCATTTGAACCGTTGTGCCGTGCTGCTTATATTTATCACTCAGTACAAATGCCCAAAACCAGTGAGTCTGAAACAAGGACTGGTGGGACATTGCTCCACTTCAGAGACACAGTGGCAGTGCTTTCAGTTTCGGGTTTCAATCCGATCAAGTGTTTACATGTTCTCTCGATCGGATTAGAAAAGGAATAAACCGCCTCTTTCGATTCGGATCGGGCTCAATCGGATCGAGTAAGGCGTTTACCTGAAGTATTTTCACTCCGATTGAGCCGTCAATCCGATTACTAACGGATTATTTGGTTGCATGTAAAGATATAGATGACCCAGACGTTTACAAACCCAACCAATCATAGCCATAGCCTGAAATAAACTTGATGGTGCAGCACAACATCTGCTCAGAAATTAAACATAACCTTTTGAGCTGAAGAAGTGTCCCAAAACTAGGCTGACCAGAGACAGGCAGCATTTTATAGTCTGATTTTCCTCGCTCTTTTGAAATAAAGCCTGAATAGTCTGATGCACAATGGAGACACAATCTAGCTTTCAGAAATCACAACTACAACAATTCCCTAGCAAGTCAACACCCAGAACGATTGAATTAGCAATCATCCAGAACCACCCAAAATGCCCTGGTAAATTAACAGCCTGAACAAAAAATTTGCAATCGTTCAGAACACAACCAAAATTGCCTTAGCAAGCCACACTCTTCAAACAGCGCAGGGAATTGAAACTACACAAGGCAAATAAAACCTAAACTTCAAAACAAGTCCTCAAATTACAGCAGGCGGACTTTAACCTTCATACATCAAACAAACCTTCACATGACTATCAACTTTCAGACAGGGCTTTGTGAAACACTTCACCCAAAGTTAAATGGGTTTTGCATTGTTACTCATTGATTTTACATGCAAAGAGCACGTGAGCCAATCATAACAGAGATCATTTACATATAGAGATCCTACAGCAGCAAAATTCATTAGTTAGTAAATATAACGTTAATCTTAATGTTAATTTCATATTCCATCTGTTAATATAGTTAATGCACTGTGAACTATGCATTTTTTTTTCAACTAACATGAACAAAGATGAATAAATATAGTAAAATAAATACATTGCTTATTGTCAGTTCATAACTAATGTTAACGAATGAGACCTTATTGTAAAGTGTTACCCCCAAAACTAATTTGACTGCTTTTGTGCAAGAAACCTAGTCTAACATTATACAGTGTACTTTGGGGGAGGGGGATTCATTCCCTTTAATAATAGTTATTATTAGAGTATTAAGGAATGAATATATTGCTTTTCATTTTTTCTAGCTGAACGCCCACTGCCTGCTGTCAAACACTTGTGTGATGAATAAACCTTCAATTGACCGCTACAGTGAGCATTATGCATCTCAAACTCAAAGCCATGATAAACAGCAGAGAAAATTAAAGGTTGTGTTATATTCCTTACCTTCATAATATATTTTAAATCCATGGGCGCTTACAGCAAAGTCGCTGGTAAGACGCAAGGAAAAAATGGATCCGGTACTTGTGACAGGAGCTGGCACCTGGAATCCTGTTAACCTGCACGAGAAGAGAAAATATTACTCATCCGGACAGAAAGCAGTGTGAGGATTCATGCAATGCAATAAAATAAATGCAATAAAATAAATGCATTAAAATGCAATGCAATGCAATGCAATGCAATGCAATGCAATGCAATAAAATAAAATAAAATAAAATAAAATAAAATAAAATAAAATAAAATAAAATAATTAAATTAAATTAAATTAAATGCAATAAAACGCAATAAAATAAAATGTATTATTGTTGTATTTCCTTTTCTTTTTTACTTTGAGAAAATACACTTTTTATATTTACATTTTGGAATGAAATGTGACTTGTTCTATAAGATTCACTCACACTTTAAGCCAAACATTTCACAAAAGAGCTTGTTAGGGTTGCATGATAAATGAATGCCTATATTATTCAAAAATGTCAAAAATTGGAGTTAGTTCTGAGAAAAGAACAGCATAATTTGTTGGCAAATGCTGGTTGGTTACATATTATCCAATGCAAAAAATTCATGCATTTTTAAGTGTGGCCCCAAAAAAAGTCAAAATACTATTTTGGCCCACTGTATTTTATTCTTAGCTGTTTTGACAATACAATTTCCCAGGAGTCAAGCCCACTTTAAACCTTTCGCCGACTCTACTCTGGTTTACACAACGAGACATAAAGAATGAGTCACGTCTTTCTATTTCATAAAAACTCATTGTCTTCGTATCACAGCCAGTCCTGCCTTCACAAGATGTGAAGCTCTCTGAAATCAGAATTGAACTTGGAAAAGATCAATGAGCCTCAAATAAATAAAAAAATATCATTTCACAGAAGTACCATCAGCATTATAGGGATGAAAATGTGGCAGCTGGACCGATCCTTGAGCACTTGATGAAATAACAAACAAGCAAATTAACAAACATAGTAAAGTCAACATGAATATAAATATGAATTTGACATCCATGTTTCAAATAGTGTCATGAAAAGGCCGTTTTTTATGAGCTTGCTTGGTAACAAAAAAGTGGAAAGTGTACACCATTAATAAAAAATAACCTTAAAATAAATCCTAGCGATCGTTTTTATACATCACAGAGAGAAAAAAAGACTCATCGAACGTGGGTTCACAAAACTTTGAATTTAAATTAGTTGAAGAATTGAAGTACCATGATGACAGCGTCTGACTGAAACAACAACCAGATTGCCCCTTTTTAATATTTGTTATTATTATTATTGAAGTTTAATGTGAATTGGCATTCTCAACCCATTTTACTAAAATGCAATGTAAAATATTGACGAGTGAATCGAGATATTCAGTGTGTAAAAGTGGGACCTGGTTGTATCCATCTGGAAAAGATCAGAATGTGAAAAGTGGATATTATTATTATTATTTTTACATATTTAGAAGATAAACAATATTTCCCACCATGTGTTTGTTGGTTAGTGCCTGAGTCAATCTAGTGTCTGAGATTGAACATTTAAATTAATTTCTGTGGTTGTAAAAGCGGCACAAAAGAGAAGCACAATCTGATTGCTTGAGTTTGAATAACATTTCCTCAATCAATAGCATTCATTTTGAAGTCTGATTGAAACCTATTTAAAAATAGCTTCATTTTTTTTTGCAGCTTTTTAATGTAAACATGAAATCAAAAATCATCCCTATTTACTTTCCTTCACAATATCCCCGCTCTTATTGCTCACGATTCAATCAATGCATGTTATTCCGAAGGAAAAAACATATTTCATGAAAGTGCAATATCTCTCTCCACCTCTGAAATGACTTTTCTGCTGATGAAATCAAGGCTGCAGGGGTGCGCAAAACAATATCAACCAATAATATCAAAGCAAGCTTTTCACAATCCAATCAAATCCCAATCAATTCCCATCCTAAATTATTTGCAGCTGATTATTCTGCTTTGTTCTGAAATGCGCCACACGGTTACCCATTGCGGTAACACTTTACTTGAAGGAGTGTGCATAAGACTGACACGACACCTTCATAATCATGACAGGACACATGAAGGAGGGTTTATGCATGTTTATGACAACTGTCATTAAGTGTCACTCGCTCAATTATGACATTTTTAATGCAAATTTGACATTGTTTGAGATGTCTTTGTTATGACACCTTGACATAAACCAATACATCATAACCTGTCAGTGTCTTTGTCATGACAACTTGACATTACTAAGACAACACAACCTGTCATAAACATGACATAGCAGATTTATTATCAAACTTAAGAAAGCACTGAGCTTTATGGGTTAACATTACATTAAACTGTCATGTGGTTGGTTTTGACATTGGCTGTCATGAAGCCATTATAACATTTTAATTACAAATTCAATGTGTACCACTGTAGTTGAGGTCAAGAAAAATATTCATGACACAGTTATAATGCCTCATGACAGCCAATGTCAAAACCAACCACATGACAGTTTAATTTAAAGTTACCCATAAAGCTAAGTGCTTTCTTAAGTTTGATAATTAATCTGCTATGTCATGTTTATGACATATTTTTGACAATTTATGTTGTCATTACCAAGACATCTCAAACAATGTCATATTTGCATTAAAAATGTCATAATTGAGCGAGTGACACTTAATGACAGTTGTCATAAACATGCATAAACCCTCCTTCATGTGTCCTGTCATGATTATGAAGGTGTCATGTCAGTCTTATGCACACCCCTTCCAGTAAACTCTTACCAAAATTGCAAATGTCATTTCAAGTTTTCTTTAATATTATGTTTTATTTAAGACTCTGAGAAATTGAATTACTGCAATGCTGGAGCTCAGGTTAATGATTTGATAAGCACATCTCTCACCTGGCCTCGAGGCAATTAGCAGAAAATTGTATAGTCAAGTCCAGAGGGATATTAACGAGGTTGAGTGAAACCGTATGCTAATATAATGTGTGTTTAAGCCGAGGTCACTCACTGCCAAGCAGAATCATCTCAGGAAAACTCATCCGGCAGAAAACTGGACCAGATTATTTATGCCAATAGTCAAAAGTCTCAAAAGTCTCTGTTTTCTCCACTTAGAAAACAGAAAATGCTACTTGTTGTTAATTGTTGTTTGTAATGAAAAATAAAGCTTTGAGCCTGCGGACAGCCAGCGGATCTGAGGGATTAATTACCAGAGTGAAGAACAATCAAACACTGGAGAGAAAAAAAGGGAATTATCCCAAAGAGAGAGCCAATAAAAGATTTCAGTCTTATTGCTTTTTGCTGGCTGACTGTGAGTCCATGTTCACACACACACACACGCAAGCACACACACACACACACACGCAAGCACACACACACTCACACACACATATACACACACTCACACGCAAGCACACACACACACACGCACACACACACACACACACACACACACACGCAAGCACACACTCACTCACACACACACACACAAGCACGCACACACGCAAGCACACACGCACGCGCGCACACACACACACACACACACACACACACACGCAAGCACACACACACACACACACACGCAAGCACACACACACTCACACACACATATACACACACTCACACGCAAGCACACACACACACACACACACACACACACAAGCACAGACATATACACGCACACTCACACACGCGCGCGCACACACACACACATATATATACACACACACATATATATACACACACACATATATATACACACACACACATATAAACACACACACACACACTCTCTCAGACACTCACTCACTCACAAACACACACACACTCACACACTTTCTCTCTCTCTCAGACACACTTTCTCTCTCACTCACACACACATTTACTTTGCTATCTCCATGAGGACATACAGTAAACTGCTATTATATAAACATTCTCAGGAAAAAAAAGTACACAAGCTGTCCCTGGGCCACACGTGTGTACCCCGTTTACCCCACAAGGGTGCACACTACTTCCTTAAAGGTAAATATCACATAAGTGTACATATTAGTGCCTAATTTAAAGATACATGTAAAGTGTTACAACTGCCGTGAAAACACAAAAGCTTCGGTGAGACGCAGTCTCTCAACACTTACCTTTCTCTCAGCAGTTTTAACACGTTACATGTTAAATATAACTCTATAAATAAGCAAACAATTACAACAGCAGTAGTCAAGACAACACGTGTGTTTAACTGCGATCTGGATTCTTTCGAATAGAAACTCTGCTTAAGAAATCTCAGTGCGGTACAGTGCTCATATACTGTACGCCACGACACAGAATCTGCAAACATCTCAACATGAACTCAAACAGAACCAATTATTTCACAGCTCACTCACGGTCAACACTCGGCTCGTTTAGAAGAACATCTGAGACGGAACGGACACTTCCGATCGGACAACCGAACCATGAACTCCACGAAGAGCTGAGAAAGAGCGTATGAATATTTGCTTGAACTTTTTCTCCCTATAAAACTGGAAATGCTTCAGGCATGAAGAATTATTGAGCACTGAGTATTGGTCAAATTTACAGTAATTGAATTTGCACAGGTTTCTTACGGACGGAGTAAAACGAAGCAGTTGCACAGCTGATTAGACCAGGGAGTATTAAATCACGCATATTGATGGATATTCTGTGAAGATTTTGCTTGGTTTTCATCCTTTAATGTTTGTAGACAGCTATCAGATCTTGGACTTGTTCTAGTAGTTTATAAAGGCCCTTCTAGGGACGAGTGTGGCTATGAGAGTGGCATCGGATGTGTGTTTTATATGTGTATATTGCATCTGTGTACATTCGAATAAAACCATAAATAACCCAGATGTTAAAATAAGCACATTAAAGGGATAGATAACTCAAAAACGAGAATTCGGTCATTAATTAGGCCTACCTACTATTACAGTGTTCTTGCCGGTTTCAGAAAGTCAAATTTAAGAACTTTTTAAGACATTTTAAGACCATAAAGATTGAAATTGAAGACCTACACGACGCATAAAAAAATAAAAAAAAATCAAATCAAAGAAATTCTGGAGAATTTTTTTTTATTTCAATGAATTCAGTCA